ATTAACAAAACCATGGAGACGTGTTTGGCCGTTTTATGAACGAAAGCTGCTGTTGTTCTGTCTTGTAGACATAAGAAAGGAAATATTACCTCCGTAAATCTCGCACAGAATCGGTCACACTTAAGCAATTTTGTGTTGCTTACTTGACATAAGCTTTAAGTCAAATACCTATGCTCGATAGAGACAATGAGTGGAATTTACGTGGCCGATTACGAATGCAGACAGTCGCTCGAAGTCTCTTACATGGCAGACGATTGACAGTAGTTTGAATGTTCGCCAGACCGTCCAATAAGGCCTCCGGTCTGCAGGATACCGCTGCGACGGAATCCTGCACAGCGTCAAGCCGAGATGACACCGAGCTCTGCATGGAATTCAGCTTTGAGGAGAATGAGACCTGGGCCTCTTGCACCGTGTCCAGTCTTGAAGAGACAGAGCTCTGGGCCTCTTGTAGGGAGTCCAGCCGTGAGGAGACTGAGCTCTGGGTCTGTTGCACCGAGTCCAGCCTTGAGGATACAGAGCTTTGGATATCTTGCAGGGAGAAAAGAGGAGAGAGCTGGGCCTCTTCAACCTGAATCACCTCCGAATGAACCGGGCCTCTTGCACCGAGTCCAGCCGTGAGGAGACCAAACTCTGGACCTCTTGCAGGGAGTCCAGCCGTGAGGAGACCGAACTCTGGGTCTCGTGCACCGAGTCCAGCCTTGAGGAGACAGAGCTCTGGACCTCTTGCAGGGAATCAAATCTTGGGGAGAATGAGCTCTGGACCTCTTGCAGGGAGTCCAGCCGTGAGGTGACTGAACTCTGGGCCTCTTGCACCGAGTCCAGCCGTGAGGAGACCGAACTCTGGGCCTCTTGCACCGAGTCCAGCCGTGAGGAGACCGAACTCTGGGTCTCGTGCACCGAGTCCAGCCGTGAGGAGACCGAACTCTGGGTCTCGTGCACCGAGTTCAGCCTTGAGGAGACAGAGCTCTGGACTTCTTGCAGGGAATCAAATCTTGAGAAGAATGAGACCTGGGCCTCTTGCAAGGAGTCCAGCCGTGAGGAGACGGAACTCTGGACCTCTTGCAGGGAGTCAAATCTTGAGGAGAATGAGCTCTGGACCTTTTGCACCGAGTTCAGCCGCGAGGAGACCGAACTCTGGACCTCTTGCACAGAGTCCAGCCTTGAGGAGACAGAGCTCTGGACCTCTTGCAGGGAGTCCAGCCGGGAGACGAGTGCTGCCAGAGTCTGCTTGATGTGGTCCAGGTCTTGTGTCGTGCTCTGGTGGGCCACGGCCGTGGCCGCTCTCACAGTGGACTCGTAGAAGGTGGCCAGCTCCGCGAGCACCTGGTCCATCGAGGTGTCGCCCGTGGCCGGGGTGGGCGACGGGTCGGCCCAGGCCTGGCCGAGTAGCAGCGTCACCAGCAGCGGCAGCAGCATGGTGCGGCACGGTCCGAGGACGTCGCACAACTGGGGCCGGAGGCGACGCGACGCGACGCTCATGCCAAGTGCGCCGGCAGTGTTTACTGTACGACAAGATACGGCCGAGAGACTTCATGGCCCTCACCCCGGGTATACAGACGCCCCGACGGTGGTGACGCGGGTCGGACGACAAGTGACTCATGGGGGGTCATGAACTGCCCTCGGCGTTGTGGGATCTACAGTGATTCAGGAGGGCGTACGCTGGAGGCCGTGGGTGAGATCATCAGTCAGGGGATTCTTTCGATTGTGTTTGTGATTGAGTTTTTTAAGTGTCTACTTTATTCCATTGCTCACTGACAGACTAATAAAATTTTCCAAGTGTGGATCTGGGTTAGGGGTGGGAATTGGCGCTGACCGACTGAATGGAGTTATGGTACTGCATAGTGGGTCTGGAAAACGATACCTAGTTGAAGATGTGGTGGAGAACTTCTGGAATGACGTCGTGGACCTCAATGCCGGTTCGTACCTGAGAATAACCTTGAATTTTGGAAAATCTATGGGACACAGACCAAAGAAGAGAAGGCAAGCCACCTCCGGGATGGGAGCCTCTTGATGAAAAAAAAAACAGAACCAAACTGAAGAGCTTCTGAAGGTATCACTGGTGGGAGAGGGGTGTGAGGTCCGCCGTGACCCCAAACTAAACAATAGCAAAGGCACTATGTATGGCTATGACCTAGTGGGCATCACTGAGGATGAGATCATTTACTGGTTTAAGGAGTTTGGTGTGATGGGAGCAAAGAGGTTTACGAAGAAGGTGGGAGGAAGGGTTGAGAATACCCCTACCATACTTCTCACATTTGGCGCGCCAATTTACCCCCCAAAACTGGACCACATAAAAGTTATATAGCGAACCGGACTACATAACTTATCATGTCAATGAGCATGTGCCCAACCCATTAATTTGCTAAAGATGTGGTAAATATGGGGACCCCGAAGGAAGGTGCACAAATGGCCGGACATGTCTGAAGTGTGGTGGGCGTGCGCATGAGGACGAATGTGAGGCAAAGTGCATGAGTTGTGGTGCGGCAGGGAATCCCCTATGCTGAGGCTAGGAAACGATACATTGCTAGTCACTAACCCCCTGCTCGAATGGCATACTCCACTGTGGCATGTGCCCCAACCGAAAAAAGGAGAGGAATTGAATGAGAAGGTGGAAACATTGGCGAAAAAGACAGATGAGATGACAGCTATACTTGCAAAGATGGCGAAACAACTTCAGTCCATGTCCATGTCCATATATTTCGTAACTTTCCACAATATCCAGTGGCTTTTTAGAAGTTGCACGTCATCATTGATAAAAACGGGCATAAAAGAGACAATGTGAAACCTAATAAAAATAGCCTAACACATCACACATCGGTCGAGGAATCATCTCGGTGAATCACACTACTGCATTCACATCGTAGCACCACACACAATCGAATTCACACACGCACCCACTCATGCACCAACATTCGCCTCACTCAGTAGCAACTCCATAAGTTGGCGCTTGAAGCGGCCTAGACTCTGAACATTGCGCAAGTCGGGCGGCAGGCAGTTAAACAAATCCGATGCTCTGTAGCTAAATCGGCGAGTGCCAGAGTTGCTCACCGCTCGGGGGCGCCTCAGCTGGTTAGCCTGTCGCGTTTCATGAGTGTGCTCAGCAGTCCGACAAGGGAACAACCATTTCACATGATAAGCAGAGTCAGCAAACTGAGGCAGGCAGGGAGACACGTAATGAGTCCATGAGTGAGGAGGTGGTGCATATAAATGAGGTGACAACATGTAGCGAAAGTGAGCAAGTGACAAAGAACAAAGAAGATCAAAAGGCAGACCAGGAGGATACATGGAAGAAGGTCAAAGGTAAGAACAAGACCAAGAGCAAGGAAGATAAGGGACATGAGATGGATATCAATTGCAAAAATTATTAATATTTATCTTCCCAAAGCATTGGAAGGAAGGGTAGATCCCTGGAGAAAATTTGTGTAATATCTACTACCGGACGACCATGGGAGGAGGGGACGTAATTTTCCATATATATTTGTAATGACTATTTGTGTCTTGCCTTGAGATGATGCTGATATTTGTGATGTCGATGGTCACGGTGAGATGATGAGCATTGCTGTTGTTGTTGCTGTTGTTGTTGTTGTTGTTTGTTTGCTTTTGTTCTTTGGGGGCTTAGTTTGGATTTGGGGCAGGAAGAATTGTGATGTGCTTGTGTTAATTAGCATGGCCCTAAGCATTTTGCATTGGAATTGCAGAGGAGTTCTTTGGAGATGGCCAGAGGTTAAACCAGTGCTCCTCAAGAAAGATCTTGGCGTTATCTGCCTTCAAGAAACCCATTTTCTTCCTGCTGGCAGGTATGATTATCGGATGACTAATTATACGCTATACAATGGGTATGGAACCATAAATGGAAGGCGAGGAGGGACTTGCATATATGCTACCAACAACTATCCACATTTCCAAATCAATGTGAATACTCTACGACAAGCTGTGGTTCGTTTAGTGAAGGTTGGTAGGACGCGATTATGTGTGTGTTCACTCTATTTACCCCCCAGTGAGACAGTGACATCACCTGATTTAGATAATTTAATTTCTCAGTTACTCGAGCCGTTTATCCCATGCACAGATGCCAATAGTCGACACTACATGTGGGGCGCAGATCGGTGCGATCAAAGAGGTAACCTGTGGGAACATGTGGTACGACAACATGCATTGCATATTTTGAACGATGGGTGCCCAATAAGAATGGATGATTATACTGGCCTTTGGTCACACATAGATATAACCCTCTCATCCAGTAGTATTTGGCAGTATATGACATGGTGTACTGACAATGATCTGCACTCTAGCGATCACTGTCCATTGTATATTACATTCGAAATGGATCAAACAACGGAACTCAACCCACACACATTTCATTGGTGGAATGTGAACAAAGCAAAATGGACAGAATTTACGGACAAGTGTGATATGCGATTTGAGGGAACGGCTAGTATCGACAAACTTGCGACTATGGCTGAGGCTATAGTCGGAGTGGCAAAGGAAAACATTCCTCAGAAAAAAACGGGAAAACAAAACATAGCTGCCCTTGGTGGAACGGAGAGTGCAAAGACGCTATCCGAAATCGTAAAAGGGCACTTAACCGATTTAGACGGAATCGACAGACTGTCCACCTAATGAAATACAAACAGGCTAGAGCAAAGGCCAGGCAGGTTATTCGTAACGCCAAAAATAAATCGTGGGAAAAACCTTTGCATGAATTCAACTACAGCACTCCTGTACAACAGATGTGGGGTATTACACGCAGTTTTACGAAAAAAGAGAGGTCACAAAGGCCGCTACCTGTTTTGAACATTGATGGTGCTATTATTGATGACCCTGAGGAGGTAGCAGATGTGTTTGGAAAACATTACTCCAATACTTGTGCCTCCCAGAACTACCGCCCAATATTTAGGAATCGTTTAAATGAACTGATACAATGAATGCAAAACTTTTCCTCTGACAACAATGAGGTATGTAACGCTGTTTTCACGATGGATGGGCTCTAACAATCCATTACATTGTGTGGAAACACCTCGATAGGCCCAGATAAAATCCATTATGTTTTCTTCAAGCATATGGGTGACAATCTGTTAGAGGAAGTTCTGAAAATGTTGATATATGGTGTTCGGAAAGCTTTCCAGTCCAGTGGAAACACTCCATTATTGTTCCAATTATGAAACCTGGCAAACCGGGCGATAAACCTGAATCATATAGGCCGATTCAGCTGATGTCGTGTTTCAGCACATTAACGGAAAGGATGGTGGTCAAAAGACTTTTATGGTACATAGAAAATAACAATATGATATCAGAGTATCAATGTACTTTTAGGACGGGAAGATGCACCTCTGATCACCTAATTCTACTAGAGTCTGAGGTCAGAAGAGATGTTTTCTACCATACATATACATTAGCGGTCTTCCTTGATTTAAAGAGCGCATATAGCCTGACATCAAAGGTGACACTCCTGACGAAAATGTACCAACTTGGTTTCCGAGGACACTTAATACATCACCTAACGTCTTATCTAGATGGTAAAACCTTTCAGGTGAAATGCGGTGTACTCTCAAACATGTGTGAACAAGAAAATTGGCTTGTGCGGAATGAGGTGATATCCCCTATTCTTTTCAACATCATGATAAACGGCATTTTCAATGATGCCCCCAGAAATATGTTCAACGCGCTGTATGTTGACGACTGTACGATGTGGGTGCAAGGAAGAAGGATTATGCCATTAATCGAGAGAATGCGTGCAGCACTGGATCGTGTTTGTGCGTGGGCAGACAAATGGGGGTTTATTTTTTCGCCTCTGAAGTGCAGCGCCATTATTTTTAGACGGTTTATGAAGGAGCGAGAATTAAGGAATATGTGGGAACTTAATATTTATGATCAGCCTGCACCTTACTCTGAGCAAGTAGAATTTCTTGGGGTCATGTTGGACTCCAGACTTGACTTGAACAAATATATTGAGTACACCAAGGCAAGGGCTTTAAAACGAATATCAATTCTAAAATGTCTGGCAGGCCGAGGATGTGGCGCTGATAGAGCCACCCTCCTAAGCATCTACAAAGCGATGATCAGGCCCATTTTGGAGTACGCATGCCCTATCCTAGATGGGCCAAATAACACAGCGATCGAGTCACTAGAATGTGTTCAAAATGCGTGCTTACGTATAGCAACGGGGGCGTCGAGAACTTCGCCTATCTTTCCATTACAGGTCGAAACAGATGTTCTTACCCTTCGATTGCGGCGACATGCATTGACAGTAAGACTATGCATGAAGACACGAGGCGAGGACAATCATTTGTGTCAGAGACTTATCGCTGAAACGGCTTCTTTGCACCAAGTGAAAAGAGAATATATGAAAAGAATCTCTGATTTTCCACTGTACGAAAGAATGGCAAGCATATGTAACGAGACAGAATTCGACTTCC